TTTTTTGTTAAATGTAAATAATATGATAAAGTTTAGTTTAATCGAGTTGGGTGCTGACTTAGCGTGATTGATTGGAAACCTGTGCTGTATTTTAGTAAAAAGAAGAAAATCGCTTTTTCTTTTTCATTTTTTAAATCTCTCTGTTGTGGTGGACCCCACCCTTTTCTCCAGACAAATCACCCACTTTTTCTTTTTCTTTTTCTTTTTTTCTCTCTTACAAAATTAATTTAAAGAAATTTAATTTGGCTACCGATCACCATCCATCCATAATTCCATTAGAGCAACACCCATCACTTTCTTTTTCCCCTTCTGTTTCTTGTAATAGTAATATGTATATCATTAATTAGGTTGAATTTCGGGTAGATGGATGTTCCCGAAAAGATTATAAAAATAAAAAATTTGTGAGAAATATTTAATTTAACAAAGTAGTATAAAGAATTAATATTAATATTATGTTTGATATATTCTTATAATATTATCGTTTGTTCTTTCATGTTAAATTTATAGATATATAAAAATGTCGCGTGTCAAAAGAAATTTAATATTTAAATCCTAACTAATTTTATACGGTAGGAAAGGATAGGAAAGGAGAGGGAGAGAGCTAGACTACACCTTTCTTTCTCTATTTTGGTTGGTTTTCCTCTCTTTCGGTTAGGTCAATGTTATTTTACTTTGGTATTTTTTTCCTCATCAATAAATCTTTAGCTTCTTATAGTTTATTATAACGAAATTGAGGTGGGTAGAAAAAATAGTTCATGTATTTCAAAATATGTCACATGTTTTTTTAAATTTTCAAATTTTTAAATATAGTACAAAATTAGAATTCCGATTTTGGAATATTTTATTATTCCAATTTTACCTTTTTTATTTTTCCAAATCTCGTGGGTATAATTTCTTCGTTTCTCCTTCATTCATATATAAGACACTTATATTAATAGTATATTAGACACTCATATCAGTAATACATCAGATGTATATCACACATATATTACACAAATACTCATTTTAGTATCACATACATATATTAATAGTCAGATATATTATAGATATGTCACATAAAATGTATATCATTTAGGTAAAGCTGTCGTTTTAAAATTGGACCTCCGTATTTTTGAAAAAAAAGGTAYTATATATGAAAAAAAAAATTAAATTTGGTTGCTATTTTGCTAAATATTTTGCCATATTTACAATAATTTCCTCTTATTATTATTATTATTTTGTTTTAAAACTTCATTCGATTGACAATACGACTAAAGTGTATACAAGTAAAATATAATATATCTATTGATACGAGGTCTTTTACGATTTGTACAGTATAATACCATTGTGAAATTGTCCAGAGTTGATTGTCCTGCCCCATTCCATTCTTTAATAAACCCTTTAAAATTAAGAGAGGATTTGCTTCATTACCAAGGATATTCCCATTTCTATCCTTTAAGACTTTTTCCCCTTCTTTTAATCTCCAACGGTCCGATTCGTGATTTTCCCCTTTAGCCCAATCATATATCAAAAAGTACAGAACTAGTGGGTTTCTCCTCCACCCCTCAAATTCGTTTCTTTAGCCAAAAATGTTAAATCACCACATTTTAAAAAACAGGAAAAGATTAGGGTAAATTTATTTACTTGTTAGTGATATAATATCAATTTTGATTTCTCTGGTTTTGTAGATATGGATGGAAGCATGAAACTCCATGGAGTGGGGAAGTTTTGGTGCAGTAATATTTCTTCTTCAAGAATGGTTGTCTTTCCAAAAAGACGACCACGACCTTCAAGCTGTAAAGATCAAAATCATGTGGAGTGATTTATGAGTCGTCCCTCGTACAAAACTCGGATGGATCAGAAACCAAAAACCCTAAAAGAAGAACAAAGGGCAATTATAATAACAAACTAATGAATAATATTGCATTACAAACAGATGCATTTTAATTTCCTTTGATTATTATTTTATTGCCCTACTTCTCTTTTAGAATATATGATATGATATATAAAACTTAGACAGAAGAATAGCCAATCCGACGTTGGTTGTACTTGGAGGAGTTCCCCTTAACCATACTTCAGAAACAAATCTCTCTCTATTTTATTTTTCATTAATGTACTCTTGGGGTTTCTCCCCTTAATATTAATTAATATGTGTTCTTGTATTTTCCAATGGTTGCTTCATATTGCATTATTACAGTTGCTCTTGGTTTATTTTGTTCTACGTAGATGGTGCATATGATATTTGTTTTATTACCATGGCCATTGTGTCAAGTGTTGTTTAGGTTTTTCAGTTCTATAGTATTTTAATTACTTTGGATATATATCAAAGTTACATAATAGAAAAGTGTGTTTAGTTGGAATAATTTTTTCAGTTCAATAACACAATAACATAATAACATGTGATAGTGAAGATTCGAACCTTATTACATATACCTTAACCAATGAATTAAGCTCAAGTTGTCTAAAATAATGAGAATTATTGTAGGATATATTAGGATGGTTGGGATTGCAGGGAACGCAAATTAAATAAAGTTCCACATAGCTAGTGATTCATGATATACATAGGTGAGAATAATTGTTTCCGTTGGTTCGAGATATTTTGGGTGAAACCAAAGTCAAAGTTGGAGTTTGAACCTCTTAACCTCGACTATATGTTATTGTATTGTTGAATGTAAAATGACATAAAATAAATATATCTTTATAAAAATATCATCATATTTTGTTGTTTTTTTATAAATATCACAAAAATGAATTTTGATTAGTCTTGGGTGATTATATAAGTTTGCAATTTATGTTATTTTATAAAATTGTAAACCTAATATTATATATATATATATATATAGAAAAATAAATGCATATGCTTTGGTGGTATTTTTGTAATTCTGTAAAAGAAAATTCATATTTCAATAAATGAAGGGACATGAAGCATTCCTTAAAATTGTCCCAGCATTTTGTGGGGCTATCACAACTCAACAAAAAGTAGGAAACTAGGTCTTAGTCTCTTCTTAGGTGTATGAATTACACAAAAGCAAGAACTCTTATATGCCATCATCTACTATCATTTATTAAGTCACATTTTAATTTTTAGATTGGGATATTGTTGGGTATGTAGCGAGTGCACATAAAATTTTATATTGGTTAAGATAGAGAGCGATCCATGTATATAGATAATAACAATTATCTCTAATTGATATGAAAGTCAGTAAAATAAAAAAATAAAGTCGTGAGAATTATGTTCTTAGTAAACAATATCATATCATTATAGAGATACTTGAAGGTACGACAGTACTATTTTCCTTAACATACGTAAACGTTTTTGTTTTTTAAACTGACCCATTTTTAAATTGAGCATTTTCTTTTTCTTAAAATTTTAGTTTAGATTAAAAAAAAGGAAAAAGAAAAAAAAAAACCTTTTTTTAATCATCTGATACTGTATTGAAGAAATCTGTGGATGTCAATGGAGACGGTGACTAACTTCAAATAGGAACAAAAGTAAACGGTTGGTAATATAATATAGGAAAATTAAATTTGGGAGAGTTTTCTTCATCACCAAGAATATTCCCATTTCTACCCTTAAGACTTTACCGTTCCAAAACATATATACATATAGAAAAAATAACCAATGAATTCGACATATATAATAAGGAAAGAAAAGAAAAGGAAAAGGGGCAAAGACCATAAAAGAAAAAGCCAAAGAGAAAAAAACACACAAAATGAACCTCTATTCATTTCTTAGAGTAGAGATATGAAAAACTGTCTTTGCAGCGTAGTATCGCTCTCTAAATGCTGGGTCTACTGTTGTTCTTCATAGTTCCAACCTAGATAAGGCTTTTTTATGCCCTTTTTTTAGGTTGGGTTGCTGGATACGGGATCCTCGTAGTAGGCGCGACCCCGTCAACCCAAGCTTCATTCGACGTTCAGTCCCTTCTCCTCGATCCTGTATTGATCCACGACCATTCTTGGTATCCTTTGGTGGATATCCCACATGAAATTCGCGATGAGGGTTCCAAACCTCCTCGAGACCACGTTGATATTTTAGAAAAAGGTGGGCTTGGGCACAAGCTCAACTTCTTCGATTAGGCTACCACCCGGGGCTTGGTTTAGCTGAGGATGAGATTTGCTACCCGATGAGTCTCCCTACGCTATTAGGCACCTTTGGTCTAGGCTTTGACCCCAAAGTCCACTTTGAATTGAGAACGTCCGGAAATTCAGGCTCACCATCCGTCTGCATAGTGTCGGCCCCAACCTGGGAGACAAGGATCCTAGACTAAGTCTCAAACACGCTTTCTAGGTTTGTCTTGTGTCTCTGTAACAAATGGTCCATTTATTTTTTTATTGATGGGCGAACAACAGTTAGACAGTATAAAAAGAGAGGTGATTTTTCCCACATCTTTTTCTTCAGCCTCTAAGGTTTTATTTATTTATTTATTTGTTTTTATTTTTTTAATGAGTAATATAAATAATACATAGATATAAGATTTGTTGAATAGTTTTTTTTTTGGACCAAAATTTGTTGAAAAATTGAAAATTGAAAAACAAAGGAGAGGATGAATGTGGATATGTCCGCTCCTGGTCAGATCCAGTTGTAAAAGAGCGAGGATCGGTCCAAATATGTCTTTTCCACTATCTGTCGGTGCCTCGCTTTTTTTTTTCCCTCTTCTTTTTCTTTTTTCCAATTTAATAATTTGAAATTTGTTATGTTAAAAAAATGATTTACAAATTCAACCTATTAACTTTTTTTTTTTAAATTCATATGACCAAGCTTCTTTAAATGGAAACTTTAAATAACCATAGCTTCTTTAAATGGAAACTCTAATGACCATAGCGTCATTGTTAAATTTAAATTATGTTTTGGAGTAACTTAATTTACTATTTTAGTGTTTGCATGAGATTGGACAATCTCTCATCTACATTTGTTGCTGTACTAAACGAAATTACTATTTTAATCTTATAAATTTAAAATTTTCAATTTGATTTTTATAATTTAATTAAATCTCACGATATTCTTTTTATGTTTCACAAAATTTTTTAACACATTTTCCTTAGGCATGTGCTAATCATCTCTTCCTACAACATCTGGAGTATTACAAATAAAATCTAGCGATACATGTGACCTTCTCCTATTTAAACATGTGTGTCAAAACCTTAACTCGGGCGTCCCAAAGACAGAAAGTAGGATCTGTGACAAAGTGAGTAGAGCTCAACTTGATTCAGGCTAGAAAAAATTCTACCAACAGTTGTTTTCAGTGAAGGGGTGAGCAGTTCCTGAGGAATGAAACCGCCTTACCGAGTTTACAAGGTTAGATAACGAACTTGAAACGCATAACCCGAGCGGCCAACGAGCAAGTGGTTAGTGGCCAATAGCTTCCTAGTTGATGGCATTTCTCTTCACGGCAGAACAAGTACTTTAGGAAAAGAACTATCACCCTTGTTACCAGGAATAGAAAATACAAGAAGTCTACACATTCAAAGACCAAAGCGCACACTTGAAAGCACTTTGAAAGCACTTTGAAAGTGTCAACAAGTGTGCAGAAAGGCGAAGTTCTACATTTTTCACTCTACACAATTTCTTGCCTTCCAATTGAATTTGACTCGATACTAGCTCAGATTTATTACTAACTTAGGCCACGTTTACTTAACCGTAATCGTAATGGGAAACAATCGTAATGAAATCAATCGGAATCGTAATGTTATTCCATTGATGTTATTTACCAGAAATCTTCTGGAATCGTAATCAGAATTCCTTTGATGTTGTTTACTAAAACTGTTTGGAATCGGAATCAGAATAAGATATATGACAATTACTAATATACCCCTTTCTCCTTTTTAGTCAATTACAAATATATTATTGTGCTAATTTTTTTTAAAATTACAATAATAATAAATTTTAATTTAATTTATTAATGATAGTAAATATTTCTTATTATAACAATTTATCTAATATTAATACATAATGAATAATTAAAATAAAATATACATCAAATAAAAAAAAATTTATTACAACAACCAAACTTTAATAAAACATATTATTAAGTTTTATTATTCTAATATTTATTTAAAAAATTTATTGATATTAATTAATATTAATATTATATAAAAAAATCACATCAACTAATAAAAATTGGAGTATAAATGGAGAAGAAATTATAAAAGTATAAAAAAATTAATTAAAAATTGTATGGATCTAACCCATAGATAAGAGAGAAAGAGTAAAAGTAGTACATTAATTATAATATAATGTGGGGTCAACGAAATAAGAAATGAAAATGAGATTGATGGAGTTGTAGGAATGTAATGGGATGACACCTTTTCATTGAGGTGGATCCCACCATTTGATTATATTCTTACAATTTGGTAAATACCATAAAAAGGAATCAAAGTTTTTATTACGATTCATTGATTACAGGTAAGTAAACGGGACCTTAAACTTTAGAGTATACGTGACCAAACATCACATTGATACAAATTCATGGATGTAGGTGTAATAGAATACATGTCAGAAGTACATAGAACAGAAGATAATGTGCGATCTCATAAAAAAAACACGCATCAACAAAACATATTATATTGGAATTTCGAGATATTTACTAATAAATTAAAAGGAAAATTTTTAAAACTTGATGACTAAATTAAAATCAAATACAAAGTATAGTAGTAAAGTAAGTAGTAAGTGGTTTTCTTACCTCTGCTGAGGACGCGGTGTGTAACTTTCTGCAACTCAGTACGGCTCAAAAATTTGCCAATTACTGTCCCGCAGAAAAGAAAAATTATTTTTTGACAACTGGGTTTTCTCAGGCATTGCGTTGGGAACCCAAATCAATAAAGAAACTTGAAAAGGCCACAGGGGGCAGTAGATTTGATTTGGTTTGATTTGATTATATCAATTTCACATCCCTCCATTTCAAATTGGGTGTCGATTTCTAATCCCAACACGCCCCCCTTTGCCCTTTGGAAGCCTCTCATTCCCTTCTTCTCACCGACATATCCAAAGCCAAAGCCAAAGCCAAAGCCAAAGCCAGTCAAAAGAAAGCTCAAAGCCAAAGATTCCAAGTTTTAAAACATAACTTAGCCACGAAGAACCAAACCCCAGAGGGAAGAGAGACTTTTTGCTTCATTCATTTCCAATTCTTGGATTTCTGTTCCATTTCTGCCTTTCCCTCGACTTCTCTCTCAAGAAACAGAGAGAGGGACAGAATGGGAGAGGTTAGATTCTTATGTTTACTCACTTTCTTGTTCTTGGCGGTGAGCTTGAGCTGCATCAATGGCGAAGACCCGTATAGGTTTTTCACCTGGAACATCACATATGGCGACATATGGCCTCTCGGAGTGAAGCAACAGGTATCATTTTTCTGCATCTATACGACACCCATTTCTTGTTTTCCTTCAATGATGTAATAAGAAGAATCTATTGTCTTGTCTTGTTTCTTCCTCTTTTTTTTTTCAGGGTATTTTGATAAATGGGCAATTTCCAGGACCTCAGATCGAGTCAGTTACTAATGAGAACTTGATTATCAATGTCTTCAATAGTTTGGATGAGCCTTTCCTGATCTCTTGGTTGGTTTTCTTCTACCTTCTTCCATTTGGTTCATAACTTGTATGAAGAAATGCCCCGTTCACTATTTTGTGTAATTTGGAGTTCTTTTCACTGGATAGCAAGATGCATAATCAGCCAATTTTGTTGTTAATCTATCCTTTTATCTGTATGATGTTTGATATTTTGATTATATATTTTATTGGATTGAGTTTTTATTATGGACTTTTCCATGTTGGAAGATGGGTCACTGACGTGTGTTTGAAAATAGGTGCAATAGAATTGAATTTGATCATTAATAGAATGCACACTATTATAAAGAGTTACTCGTGCAGTCAAATTATTACTATATAAAATGTAATGTTGGTGGTTGGGAAGGCGAATTTAATTGCTCCAGGTGGAGACAAAAAGTGGGGCTGACAGAACGGTGTCGTTTAACCTCAGTATCATTCTATTTCTTTGTTATAATTAAATGTTGGAAAGTTCTCTTTTTATCTGGATTTAATCAAGTAATTGAGCCGAAACGAGTATAAGTCAGTGGTAATTGAAATGTACCTCCAATCATGAGATTGTGAGTTCAATCCCCTACCTTCACACGTTGTACTAAAAAAATCAAGAAATTGAACCGCACATTAACAAATAACAACTCTCTAAGTTTATTTGATATCTTTTAGACTATTGCGGCTTGGCTTGGTTTGAACATTTTCGGGACTAGACTTCGGGTATTTTATTTACTTGATTTGGGTAATTTTATTAGGTGGTCTTTTAACGATATTCTAACTTCCACTGGTAAAGTTATTGAACAAGACCGCTACAACGTGACTGTTTTCTAATAACCGGCTGATGCAGCTGCAAAATCTATATGCCCTTAATAATCATTAGATGCATACTTAAAATACTTTTCTTTCATATATGTAATAGTTTAGTGTGGCAACCTCCTCCTATAATATCTTCTCCTCAAGGTAAAAGGGGGTAAAATATAGATTTTTCTTGTAAATGTTTTAAATCAGCAGCTGAAACTGAAAGCGATGTCCTTTGACCTTTTGCTGTAAATGGAGTGAATTCGGTGTAAACTGAAAAAACTGAACAATTTTGCACCTTGATTGTTGTGTAGGAATGGGATTCAACAGAGAAGGAACTCTTGGCAGGATGGAGTTTATGGCACAAACTGTCCCATCCCGCCAGGACAGAATTTCACTTATGTTCTCCAAGTGAAAGATCAGATCGGCAGCTACTTTTACTTCCCTTCCTTGGCCTTCCACAAGGCCGCTGGTGCCTTCGGTGGTTTCAAAATCTTGAGCCGCTCTATAATTCCTGTCCCTTTCCCTCCTCCTGCCGGAGAATTCACTGTTCTGGCCGGCGACTGGTACTCCAAAAACCACACCGTAAGCTTTGTTTTCTCTCTAAACATCTCGCAAGTCATGCTGAAGTCTCTTAATTAACGGCAGTTTAATCAAAACCCTTGTAGGATTTGAGAGCCATTTTAGATGGTGGCAGTGATCTTCCCTTTCCTGATGGGCTTCTCATCAATGGTCGTGCTTCAAATGGAAACACTTTTACTGTTGAACAAGGTGTTACATTTACCGTAACTCATTAGCTTCAGTTTTTAAGTTTTTAGACTCAAGATTGGTTTGTTTTGGTTCTTATGAAGGGAACTTTAAATGATGCTAATGGGCTAATGATTTAAGCGTTGTTATGCAGGTAAGACTTACAGGTTTCGAATATCAAATGTGGGGCTTACAACTGCCATAAATTTCAGAATACAAGGCCACAAAATGCTGCTGGTTGAGGTTGAAGGAACTCATACCCTTCAGAACATTTATGATTCCCTTGATATTCATCTGGGGCAGTCCTACTCCGTCTTGGTCACTGCCGACCAGCCGCAGCAGGATTACTACATTGTCGTTTCTACCCGTTTTACCTCCCAAGTTCTCACAACCACCTCCATCCTTCATTACAGTAACTCAGCAGCAAGTGTCTCTGGTCCTCCTCCTGGTGGACCGACCATTCAAATCGATTGGTCGCTCGAACAAGCCCGATCTCTCAGGTATCTACCTTTGTTATTGATCCCTGTTTATTTGCTAATGCACATGATTGTAAGTCCTGATGTATGCTGCTTCATTTGTTTTCTCAAACTAGATGTTTGGTTCTGTTTTTATGAACTCTGCATTCATGCTCTGCAAAAAATAGTAAGGATACATAGATTTTTCCTTTCTAGCCTTTAGTGTGAAACTATCCTAAAAGCTAATTCTATGAACATATCATGGACTGAAATTTACACCTTGAAAATTGACAAGAAGGAACAAGATCAAGTTTCTTACTGTAATCTAGTTGTTGAAAGCATAATTTAATATGCTTATTGAACTACTGTTCTGCCATGCCCTTCTTACTCTGACTATTTATCAAACCAGACGAAATCTGACTGCAAACGGCCCGAGACCGAATCCTCAAGGTTCTTATCATTACGGAATAATTAATGTCACTCATACAATAAGGCTTCAAAGCACTGCTCCAATCATTAATGGGAAGCAGAGATATGCTGTGAATAGTGTGTCCTTCATTCCAGCTGATACCCCTCTCAAACTTGCTGACTATTTCAAGATCTCTGGTGTGTTCTCTCTTGGAAGTATCTCCGACTACCCAACTGGTGGTGGGGGTTACCTTCAGACTTCTGTCATGGCTGCTAATTTTAGAGGCTATGCTGAGGTTGTGTTTGAGAATCCTGAAGATGCCATGCAGTCATGGCACGTTGATGGACACAATTTCTTTGTCGTGGGGTAAGTTTCTTTATGCTCGTATCACAACCTTTTCGAAAACCCGATATGGTAATCCTTGTGCTTCTCATGGTTCAAAGTTCACTCCTCTGTTGTGCAACAGGATGGATGGAGGGCAGTGGACACCTGCTAGCAGATTGACTTACAATTTACGAGACACGATCTCTCGCTGTACTGTCCAGGTAGTGGTCTAATTTATCAGCTGATCTTGACTTGTTTTCATGATTAGAGAATCGAAAAATTTCGGTTTAGCTTCGTTCGTGGTTCAAGTTATCTTTGGTTCTTAAACAAATTTCTATCCAACTTTAGGTGTATCCACAGTCATGGACTGCAGTTTACATGCCTCTGGACAATGTGGGGATGTGGAACATAAGGTCTGAGAACTGGGCTCGCCAGTACTTGGGGCAGCAGCTGTATCTTCGTGTATATTCGCCAGTAAATTCATGGAGAGATGAATATCCAATCCCGAGAAATGCTCTTCGATGTGGTAGAGCAATCGGTCTCTAACACTCGACCTTCATGAAGCAACAACAGTTCAGATCAGTAAACAATCTCATCAAGGATTTAGGAGATTTTCTCTGTAAAACATGTGTTAGTCTTGGTTCAACTCGAGCCATGCGTCGATCTTTGAGTCATGATTCTTGCTAGTTTCTCTTAGTTTTCAAAAGTTTAGAACTCCAATCTTTCCAGAGAAAGAACACAATGCTGTAGAATCCATGGCTTAATACCATTGATGTGTTGAAAGAAACCAGAAACACATCGAGAACCTCATGACTTGCAATATTGACCTCCTCATATCAATATATGAATTTGATTTTCGTTATATATAATAGTTTTTTTTCCTACCTTCAAATGAAAGAAAATACAAGAAACTTATAATTGTATTTTTGGGTTTAATTGAGTATTTGAAGAATTGAAAGAAATGGTGCATGTCCAAACAGTGGGAGTACCTTAAATTATTGCTCTTGCCAGTGGGGTTCCGAAATGAAGCATGGTCTCTTAGATGCATTATTGGAAGGCAAATAAATGCTACAAAATGAGGAGAAAGTAAAATATTCATAACAAATAAGCCTTTTATCTTTTATATTTATAAGTAAGTTAAAAATTAGTATTATTAATGTTAGGTTTAAATTGGTGATATTTTGTTGATTTTTTTGCAATAATATGAAAATGTAGATTTATCCCTTATGTCAGTGTCAAACCCATAAATGTATAGAAATGTCTACATATCGAAGAAAATTTAAAACTTTGTTTACTACTGCTCAATAAAAACAATTCAAGCTCTATTTTCAAAGGCGGTCTTAAATCTACTCTTGTAAGAGGTATCTAAAACTTTTTTTTTTTTAATGTGGTAGGAGAAGGTAATGTGAAGTCTTATTAAAAATGAGACCCATGACCCTAATAATTTTTTTTTTTTAGTACAAGTAGATGCTCGCTTTTGCCCATACCCTACTAACTACAGATAAAAAGTTTGTCAATTATTAAATTTTAACAGTTATAATTTTTCTCGTCATTAAATTAGAAAAATCTATGGGTTTAGCCAAAATTCGATTACACTTGAGAAGTTTGAAGAAGCGAAAGACCTACCAAATACAAAATAAAGGTAAAGATTTGAAGAATTAGTTACTCAATCCAAATTATAGTGTCTTTGGTTGAGCAATCGATTTCACGTACCTGCATAAGGAGTGAGCTCCGGTAGCCTATGAAATAACACATTTTTTCGCATGTGGATCTTGCGCATCTTGTAAATATCAGTGTTAATTCATCAGTCGTGTTAGTAGGGAGTTGAGCGGTTGTGCGGCAGTTGTCTGCTGACTTTAGATAGATCGAACTCAATGGTTGGATTCCAAGTGTGAATCATAGGTCGAATTAGATATTTCGAGGTGATATAATTCAAACTTCTTGCGACCTTTATTTTGATACGTGGCATGTTGGTACATCCTCCTACATCTATTATTACATATACATTTTATAGCAATATGATACCTGTATTTGTACTTTATTACCTCACTTTTTAAACTTAATTAAGTATATATAACAATTATTATGCAAATTATTGAATTACTTGACTTAGAATTCTTAAAACAACCATGGTTACATCAACTTAGCTCGAAACTATGTCATGATATGAGTGAAAAACTTTGTTTAAGTAGAATAAATTTGATTTACATACATCCAATAACTATGGAGAAACATGAACATATAACTTGCGGTTAAAACATTCAATCTTCTCTCTTGTCACTTATACTGAAGAAAAACCATAGAAATTAATAATACAAATTAACATTTTGGAGAGGAATCACCAAAACTTTACTTAATTATGGCATTAAATGTATTAAAAAAATCCAAACTTTGTACCTTGTGGTTAATTAATACATATGTTTGAAGTCAATCTTTTTAATATATTCTCAACTTCCATTGAACTGTGTTATCCGAAAAGTGATGTGATTGTACTCGCGATGATGTGTTCTCATGGTCATGGTCATCATCTTTTTTTCCACGACACCTTTCTTTGATTTCTTTGGTTTTTGTACGGTTGACACGTTTGTTTTAATCCGTGTATTTTAAACTTTTATTCATTTAAGCTTTTATATTTTTGAAATGTTAATATTTTAAGTGTTGATTCGTGAGTACAAAAAAAACTGCTTTTGCATCTATCTTTCTCTTTTTCTTTTTTTTTAATTGTCAATAACAAAGATAAGTACTTATTGGTCAACATTCGAAGTATTTTCCCACTTTCACTCACTAATTTTTTTTGAAATGTAACTATAAATATGATATTAAAGGATTTCTAGTGAGTATAACATTTGTGTTAACCTTTAGGGAAAAAAAATACCAATTTGTAAAAGGATAGAGACTAATGCCAATTTGTAAAAGGACAGAGAAGGAACTAAAATGACTAAAATTGAACTTAAAAAAAGAAAAAAAAAAGGTAATTGGTCAACTTTGTGTTGACAAGTTGGGTATGCATAGAGTGTTTGAATGGGTTTTTAGTGTTTGTCATTTATTGTTAGGTACCGACGATGGCCATAACTGAACACAAAGCTTAAATACCACATGGAATATGGATACGCTCCACTCCCACTGCGTGTGACCGCACGACCCACGTCGGCGGCGGCCATGGCAGACCCAAGCCGGCCTCTAAAACTAGGGCTAGCTGTGAACTTAATTTGTCTCTTCACTGTCATTCAATTGCTCTTTTTTTTCTTTGAAACGCTAATGCGATTTCGAACTTTGGATGGTAGATATATATGTTGTGTAACAAATTGCTTGAAATGGTGATCGAGTTTGTTTCATACGGATAAATCGTGTGTGTATAAGAACTAAGAAGAGTCAAAGGCTACAGACAAGTTATGACCAATTGTAGTGAAGTTTTGGGTTGCATTAAATGATCATCCACCAATCCCCCAACGCTCCAACGCGTCTCAAGAAGAACCACTTTAATGGAGCAGTACATAATTATCCAAGTGGGCGAAGGTGAAGCCTATATATATTCTTAGTCTTGTGAGCAGCCAAAGTCAAGCTAAAAGATCTTGGGTCAAGTTAAGAAGCTAGCTTCCAATGGCTTGTTCTCCAAAATGGTGTTCTCTCGGTCTCCTCCTCCTCTGCATTGTGCTCCATTTGAGTGCTACCGCTCTTGGAGATAAAAAGGTTGATAAGAGTGGATTTAGGGACGATGACTGTGGATGGGGCAGGCGCTGCGGTGGCAGATTTGGAGGACGTGGACCGCGCTTCGGTAGGGGAGGTGGTTTTGGTGGCGGTCGAGGTGGCGGATTTGGTGGTGGATCGGGTCGTGGGGG